CTTCCTATTCCACACTACCTTATTCCATATGCCATGTTCTACCTTCCTATTCCGTACTACCTTATTCCATATGCCATGTTCCACCTTCCTATTCCGCACTACCTTATTCCATATGCCATGTTCCACTTTCCTATTCCGAACTACCTTATTCCATATGCCATGTTCTACTTTCCTATTCCGCACTACCTTATTCCATATGCCATGTTCTACCTTCCTATTCCGCTCTACCTTATTCCATATGCCATGTTCTACCTTCCTATTCCGCACTACCTTATTCCATATGCCATGTTCTACCTTCCTATTCCGCACTACCTTATTCCATATGCCATGTTCTACCTTCCTATTCCGCACTACCTTATTCCATATGCCATGTTCTACCTTCCTATTCCGAACTACCTTATTCCATATGCCATGTTCTACCTTCCTATTCCGCACTACCTTATTCCATATGCCATGTTCCACCTTCCTATTCCACACTACCTTATTCCATATGCCATGTTCTACCTTCCTATTCCGTACTACCTTATTCCATATGCCATGCTGCTGTACATTCCCTATTCCAAACTACCTTATTCCATATGCCATGTTCTACCTTCCTATTCCACACTACCTTATTCCATATGCCATGTTCTACCTTCCTATTCCGTACTACCTTATTCCATATGCCATGTTCCACCTTCCTATTCCGCACTACCTTATTCCATATGCCATGCTGTACATTCCCTATTCCGAACTACCTTATTCCATATGCCATGTTCCACCTTCCTATTCCGTACTACCTTATTCCATATGCCATGTTCTACCTTCCTATTCCGCACTACCTTATTCCATATGCCATGTTCCACCTTCCTATTCCGTACTACCTTATTCCATATGCCATGTTTCACCTTCCTATTCCGCACTACCTTATTCCATATGCCATGTTCCACCTTCCTATTCCGCACTACCTTATTTCATATGCCATGCTGTACATTCCCTATTCCGAACTACCTTATTCCATATGCCATGTTCCACCTTCCTATTCCGTACTACCTTATTCCATATGCCATGTTCTACCTTCCTATTCTGCACTACCTTATTCCATATGCCATGGTGTACATTCCTTATTATGCACCGCCTCATTTCATATGCTGTGCTATATGTTACCTATTCTGCATCGCCTCATTTTATACGCCATGCTGCACATTCCTATTCTGAACCAACTCATTCTGTATACCATATTATATATTACCTTATTTACACCTGCTCATTTTGTATTGTTGCTGCTTGGGGGTTTATTGTTGCTGTTGGGGGAGTTATTATTGCTGCTTGAGGATTTATTGATGCTGCTGGGGAATATATTGATATTGCTTTGGGTTTATTGTTGCTGCTGGGGGATTTATTGATGCTGCTGGGAATTTATTATTGATGCTGGGGGATTTATTGATGTTGCTTGGGGCTTTATTGTTGCTACTGGAAGAGTTATTAGTGCTGCCAGGGGATTTATTGATGCTGCTGGGTAATCTATTGGTGCTGCTTGGGGGTTTATTATTGCTGCTGGGAGACTTATTATTGTTGCTGGGGGGGATTTATTGATGCTGCTGGGAATTTATTATTGATGCTGGGGGATTTATTGATGTTGCTTGGGGCTTTATTGTTGCTACTGGAAGAGTTATTAGTGCTGCCAGGGGATTTATTGATGCTGCTGGGTAATCTATTGGTGCTGCTTGGGGGTTTATTATTGCTGCTGGGAGACTTATTATTGTTGCTGGGGGATTTATTGATGCTGCTGGGAATTTATTATTGATGCTGGAGGATTTAGTGATGTTATCTGGGGGGTTATTGTTGCTGCTGGAGGAGTTATTAGTACTGCTGGGGGATCTATTGGTGCTGCTTGGGGGTTTATTATTGCTGCTGAGGAAGTTAATATTGCTGCTGGATGATTTATTGATGCTGCTGGGAATTTATTATTGTTGGATTTATTATTGGACCTGTGCATGCTGGAAAGTTTTGGTTTGTTTAATTTCAGATGCATTCATTCATTGAAGAATTTCATTTCGTCATATATTCGTTATGTTGAACCGATTCAATTTCAGAATTAATTTCATATCTTTAGCATTCATTTCATATATTGGTCCGTGGGGATTTGAAAAATTTTGAAGATTTTATGGAAGATTGCTATATATTTGATCTATTATTGAATCAGACGGATTCGCATTGGATAGATTCAATATTTTCAGATGCTAGTCCAACCCACCAAGAGAAACGGCATGAGCTGACTGGACAATATGTTGTGCAACCGAACTAATTAATGGAACAAAATTCGGAACCATTTATTATGCGAATCTGAATTATCAAACAAATTCGAAAACTGAATTAATTTCCCCAGGTGCCCGAACTACTATTGCATCATGTCGCACCATCCAAATTAAACAAATGGATTCATGGACATTCGTTACGTGCATTCGGAGATTTGTATATATCCACACTTCCAAAACTAAAATTTTCCTTGGAAAAATGAACTGAAACAAAACAAACGCTGTTGGGAGTGTATTTTTGCTGCCTGGGTCTATTGTTGGTGATGGGGCAGTCTATTGTTACTGCTTTGGAATTTATTGTTGCTGCTGAGGGATTTATTCTTTAAAAGGGGAGGTGGGTATGGGCGGAAACATGGGACGGTGCTGGGAAGTGGGTGGAGCAGAGATGAGTGATCAGAGAGCGTGGAGAGTACCTGATTTGACAAACCGGTGTTTAATGTTGGGCTTAATTGATTTCCAATATAATTTAAAAAAAAAAAACAACTTGTTCCTTAGAATGTGTAAAACAATTGCTTTACCCCAAACTGCTCTCTTTTCCCTCTTCAGAACAAGCCTGGCACTGGGAGGGCTTATCCAGTAGCCCGTAAGATGTGTGAAATGAAACCTGGTTTTTAACAGTCGTAGCAGCTGGCAGACTATATGCCACCAGAAGGTAGCCTGTAAGCATCGCAATTGCACAAGTCAATTCTCTTTTTAAAAAAAAGCGTCTAAGGTGTAAAAGATTTCTAGATGATTGTACTCCTCCCATTTTTGGAACACCACCAGAACTACAGCATCAGTATCTGGAGCCAACACTAGAAGAAACTTACAACAGGGCTGGGGCCAAGTATGACCAGCCAGATATCAGTAGTGACAATGCTGCTTGTCAAGCCGCCTGCGTTGTCGGCATGTGGCGCTGACTAGTTGATGTGAGGGCGACAACTCTACCCAGGTTTAAGAAGAGGTGTGATAGCGCTTTCACCCCATCAGAGTAAGTAGGACATTTGTCGCTGGTCTAGTAGGATCAACAAGAATATTTGTTGATTTGCAACGGGGCTACAGGAAAGTAGAGAATGCATAGATACACTACACATAAAGCTATTTATCTTTTTCACTGTTTGACTTTAGTTCTACTTCAGGTATAGGTCAGCTGTAATAACGAAGTGCAAGCCAGTAAAAACAACTCTAAATACATTTCACACGGGGTAAAAATGTGGAGGTGATCTGAGTATGTTTGAGCCCATTCCTACTGGTTCTGTAATGAGTTATTGTAGAGGTCCCACAACAGCATTGCTGATGTCAGCATTCATTGCCAGTACAGACAAGCATAAGAAGAATTTCCTATTCATCTGAACAATATTCAGTTCATGTATTTATTCTGAGATTCAGTATTCCGGGGGGTTTGTTTATTGGTTTAGATGGTTATGACAACATAAAATTGGAGCTCTCTCAAATGGCCCAAAGAAAATATAACTCAGCATTTTGATGTAGCTTAAATCTCCCAGCTTCCCTACAACTAACATATCAGATGCTGTATATTTAATCTATACTCCAATACCCTGAGCTCTTGTGAAAAGATTGAGACCCCACTTTTCTAAGCACCTGCATGTGGTCTTAGACAAACCTTTTTGTGTGGTCACCTACACAGCATATTATGAACTAGTCCATGACTACAGATCCTGTTTACTAAATCTTTGCAGGCCTGTCTTAATGCATGGTCAATTCCTGGGCACTGGCCAGGGGCCCCAAGTGCATAGGGGCCCCATGATATACTTGCATTACATCATACTTGACAGCTGTCCCGGATTTGCCAGGACAGTCACGCATTTTACTAAGCTGTCCTGGGATGGCCTGTGCAGCACCCCAGAACCTGTACTGTGCCCTCCTGATGTCAGTATTGTCCCCTCCATACTCCCCCTGTATTGTGCCCTTCTTTCTTCCCCTCTCTGTACTGTGACCTTTGTGTTGATTAGTCTTTGATTTGTTGCATGTTTTCTTATTGTTTAAAATCAATTTATTGAAAGTACTAATAAATCTTTCCATTTCATGTTATTACTATTTACAATATGCATTAATTCTTGAGAGTAGGTGTGTAAATTGGGAAATTGGGGCAGGTTAGTAGGGAGCCCCAGTGCATTATTTTGACCAGGGGCCCATGATGCTATTAAGACAGCTCTGAAGCTCTGACATGTTGAATGATGTTCTATACTGTCACAAGGGATTAAAACCAGCAGCTCGGAGGTTGACCATGATTGTGTAACCTCTTGCACGTGGGCTCTTTCCCCTGCCCAGAAAGCCTGGGTGCGGTGTTCAGCTGCCCAAAGACATGTATGACTATGCGTGGCTGAACGTGGGTATGCGCCAGTGCTTGCATAAACACAGGTAAAGCATATGGGTGTATGCAAAAAAATCAATGCTACTTTACTATATTCACAGAGTTTACACTGCACAGACTCAGGCTCCATTGTTCAGTACATCGAAAACAAGTGTTATTTATAGACAGGTAATCAACATATGACATTTATATGCAATAAGAGATATTTCAGAAAACATGATGACTTTTATGTCTTCCTTGGAATACTGATACATATAATTACAAAGTACCAATTTTTATATTTATACTACGCATGTATTAATTAAACCAGCATGCAGGAAAAATAAATATCCTAAAAATATAACACAATGACGTAAGTCTTTATGGTAAGTAACTTTTTTTGCTTGCTCTTACCTGGCTATTGCCATCTCTTGTTTCTGTCTGGCAGTTGCTTCTGCTCTTCTTGCAGCCTCCACTGCTCGCTCCACCTTCTCCCTCCCTTTACCCCTGCGCAATGGGAACAGACTCTTCACTTTACCACTAGCCAACATGTTCATCTTGTACTTTCCTTCTTCTCTGGAACCATCGGGATAGGTGGTTCTACCATAACCATGCCGTCGATTTCTAAGCCATTCCCCTTCATAACTAAGCCCGTTTGATCTACGGCTTACCCCATACCCACTGCGGCGATCACTCTTCCACTCGCCAGCATAAGTCTCTGTTTCCCAGGCAGCAATTGGTAGCTCAGACTCAGTTTCTGCTACACTAGCACTGGATCCATCTTGACTGGCACTAGATCCTAGAGAGCCACCAGCCCCCCGAGTTTCACTTCTCAAAGAACTGCGCTGGCTGTCCCGGCCACTAGTGGGGGCTTTGGTATCTGATCCACGATGTAATCGGAACCCACTCAGTATAAGTGAACGTGGGAAGAAAAAGCCTCTTTTTTTGGGCTTGCCACTGCTGCCAGGACCAGTGGACTCAGATCCAACTCCTCGAACTTTCAAAACAAACCCACCACGGGATCCAGAGGCAGGGCTTCCTGGAAGTAGTCCTGGGGCTGTATTGGTGTGGGCATCAGGGGAGTTAGGCAAAGAAGTGAGGGTTGGTGTTCGAGGAGAACGGAGAAGTGCAGCTTGATGATATGGGACACTCTGACGTACACCATATCCATGACGCTTACCGGTTTGCCACTGGCCTTGGTATGTACCTGCAGAGTTGGAATGGGATGTAGGCAGGGTGGGTAAACATAGAATGAAAGCATGAAGAGAGAGAGGAGGTTGGTCACTAAATTGGTATATTACACAAACTGATGTTATAATAAAAAATCAGTTATGTTATTTTTTGGAGAACCTGTCAATTAATTGTATACATCATTTTACACATTGTACAGTACAATTCTATAGCTATATTGCTTAGCTTCTCACCTCCATCTGAGTACGTCTCTATGCCATAACCATCCTGCTGGCCATCTGTCCATAGTCCCTCATATCGTGCTCCAGAAAGACTCTCTCTCACACCTAGCCTTCCCTTTAGTCCATGTGTCCATTCTCCCCGATACAGCCACCGTCCTTTATGTTCTTCTCCCAGGCCATTCCTCTTGCCTTGGTCCCAGTAGCCACGATATGTGTTTCCACTGGGCCAGGTGTACACTCCCAGAGACTCAAACCCATGGCTCCACAGTCCACTGTATTCACCTTGCCTCGTCGGACCCTTGCATACACCATATCCATGTGCTCGGCCATCCTGCCAGTCTCCCATATAACACCCGCCATCTGAAAATCCAAATGTCCCTCCGCTGAACATGCAAGAGCCGGTTTTCACATCGATTTTTTCCAAGCCCCAGTTTGCCTGTCTAATTATTTGCTCCACACGGAAAGCATCACGTGCTTCTATGGGTCCACCAGAATTCACAACTTCAGGATATATCAGCTAAAATGAAAAATTTTAGGGGACAAATCGCATTATATACCCCCTAGTTATGTCCTGTTAATGTGTCTTGTTGTTTTTGTATCAAAGAGGGAAACTAATTTAATGACAGAAAGAAACCTTCCAAGATCTTTAAATTGTTTTTTATCCTGGATCCAATTTTCATATAATATATCCTTAGAAATGACAATCCATGATTCAAAATGAAGACTTATAATTGAACTAGTCTGTAAAAGTCTTTCCCACTGGATCCCAGTTAGTCTACGCGCCTGTTAGGATCACCTGGGGAGAAAAAAAAAACATGACAATTACAACAAATACTATGTACGGTTCAGTGACTTTACACACTCTACCCAATGCAGTTGACGCGTTTAGTCACTAAAGGGAAAAGCGTTGTGTCCGTCTGCTGATTTGCTGCTATGTTACAACCATTTGTGCTTTGCTTGCACATTTTACCAGTAACATACATGGTACAAGAAGGAACATTAGCATGCTACATGACTTGACTGAGTACCTGTAAACTGCACTAGCCAATGGTAGCATTAATACATACGATGCACAAAAATAGCTTACAGTGCACATAGCAAAAAAAAAAAAAGATAAAGATCAGTCAGGAAAATTGAATCACCATGTCACTTTAGTAATAAAATCAATGAACACCTTGAAAAAAAATAGGAAATGAAAAAAATAGGCGAAAAATTTGTGAACGCGCATATAGGAAACAGATTATATTTATTACTTGCAATAAATATAGGCCAAGCTCATGGAATAAACAGGATAAACACAAACACATTTTTTTTTCATTTGCACTTACAAATAGGCAACCATAAAGACAGCCTTGTTTATGCACAGCCATATAGACACTGAAAGTGTACAGACACACAGGCTTCATGGGAGGGGGGGGGGGTGTTGATGGGTCTGTGTTCACCCCAGTGACACAAAGCACTGCATGAATGATAACCCTTCCCCCCTTCCCAAATCCATATGGAAACATATACCAGAGAGCAGCTGTGTACTTACCTCGCAGTGCCCATAGATGCAGCTTGGAGACGGCTGATGGGGGTGGAGGATGGAGAGGAGGAGGAAGGAGGAGTGCTAAAAGTGGAGAGGCTTCTGCCAGGTTGTAAGGAGGGCGCTGGGGTGGGAGAGGGCTGTGTACAGGGAGGATGGCAGCCCCGATCGGGTGGGAGGACGCCAGCGCCGGGGGCTACAAAGGCAGCCAGGTGTCTTCCCGGTGTGATCGCCTTCTATCGGGATGCCCAGGAGGGAGGGATCGGTGTGGGCGGAGGACAGATGGATGCTGGCAAAACTTGGGCACAGCTCGGGAGCTCCTGGGGCATGGCTCGCATGGTGTGGGCAGATGGATGCAATAAAGGGGAGCGGGTGAACACACACACACACACACACACACACACACACACAATCAGCTGTCACTTTCTATCAATACAGAATCGTGAATGTATACAATGTATCATCATCATAGAGCACTCGGTGTACACACAGGCACGGGGCTGTGGACGCATCTCTCTCTCTCTCTCTCTCTCTCTCTCTGCTCATTAGCACACAGTCTTCTCTTTCTCCCTAGCAACATCCAGCAGCTGGGCCATGACTACCGTGACCATGGCAGCAGGAGGAAGAGAGAGGCGGCTCCATGGAAACCGTTACCTTGGTGAAGAAGGTTGCAGCATCCTCGGCTATCCTGTTACATGCAGACATAAACACGGAGACAGCTCCACGCTCTCCACATTGATCACATGCAGGGCTCAGCCTCCGTCACTACTATTTGGTCAGCATTCTATTTTACCTAAGGCAGATTGGCATGTTCTTATGACATGCATATAGTAAAGAATTTAGATAAAAGTCTTCTGGCCATGACAACATGGAAAAGGTTGCTAAAAAATTCCTTTAATGTCATTTGTTTAATTAAATAAAAGAGGTAATGATTACAATGTTGCACAGACACATATTTACATAGTCTGGATGAAAAAAAACAAAAGTCCATACAGTTTAACTATAAAAAAACAAAGTTAGAATCCTATACCCACAGTTGATCCAGAGGAAGGCAAAAAATCCAGCAAAGCATGATCCAATTTGCTCCAGCAGGAAAAACATTCTTTCCAGATCCCCTGAGAGGCAATCGGAATTCAACTTTACCTATACATGTTAGTATCCAGTTATATTCCGTGTATCTAGGAAAGAATCCAGGCCTTTTTTAAAGCAATCCACTGAGCTGGCCAGAACCAACTCTTGAGGGAGTCTATTCCACATTTTCACAGCTCTTACTGTGAAGAAACCTTTCCGTGTTTGGAGATTAAATCTCTTTTCCTCCAGACATAAAGAGTGCCCCCTTGTCCTCTGTGATGACCTCAGGGGGAATAACTCTACACCGAGTTCACTATATGAACCACTGATGTATTTATACATGCTGATCATATCCCCCCTTAATCTCCTCTTCCCAAGAGAGAATAAATTCAGTTCCTCTAATCTTTCCTCATAGCTGAGCTCCTCCATGCCTCTTATAAGTTTGGTTGCCATTCTCTGTATATTCTCCAGTTCCCTAATGTTCTTTTTGTGAATTAGTGCCCAAAACTGAACTGCATATTCCAGATGAGGTATTACTAATGATTTGTACCGGGGTAGAATGATCTCTCTCTCTCTCTCTCTCTCTCTCTCTCTCTCACATTGCTTTCGTCCTCTTCTCACAGTCCCCACTGGCGCTGTAGGCTCCTCCCCTCCTTTGGGTGCCTCTTGTACATGCTGGGTGCCAAGGAGGCAACTGAGCGTGCATGCTTCTGTCGGGCTCCGCACCAAGGTCCGGAGAGTAACGCCCCTGCCCCTCTTCACAAGAGTTTGACTGAAGGCAGCAGGAGCCTATGACGTTTGGACAAGGGGGAAAGGGGGCACGTGCCGTGGGTGCACTGTTGCTATGTGTAGATAGGGCACACTTTGGTCGCTCCATTCTCCAGCACCTCACTGACAGGAGGGACAACACAGAGGGTGGGGGAACAACTAAGCCCCAGGGCTGTCTTAATGAATGGGCTCACTTGGGCACTGCCTAGGGGTCCCAGGTGCATGGGGGGGCATGATCATGGCCAGGACAAAGGGTGGGTGCTGTGCTGGGGGGTGCAATGATGATTTGACTACTCCTGCAACTCCTCTTTGACAGGAGTATCTGCAATATCAAAGTTAACTGCAACGGCAAAGGAGCAGCATCTGGCTTCTGCTGGGGAGAAGACTAAGCTGTCTTCTCCCTCCGCAGGGGAGCGGAAGACAGCCAGCACTGAGATTGAGAACCCACCTCAGTCTCGGCACAGGAGAGGAAGGAGAAGTTGCCTTTATTGCAGGTGGGAGCAGCATTTGTGATGGGTGAACTGGGATGTGTGAACCTAATGTATGGGGACACTGATGGGGACACCTGATGCATGGGGACACTGATGGGGACACCTGATATAAGGGGACACTATGATGGTGACACCTGATGTAAGGGAACACTGTGATGGTGACACCTGATGTAAGGAAACACTGTGATGGGGACACCTGATGTAAGGGGACACTGCGATGGGGACATCTGATGTAAGGGGACGCCTGATGTAAAGGGACACTGTGATGGGGACATCTGATGTACGGTATATGGGCACTGTGATGGGGACACCTCATGCAGGCTGGTAAGGGTCCCAATGCATACTTTGCCCTGGGGCCCATGATGCTATTAAGATGGCACTGCTTAGCCCTAAACCTCCTTTCTCCTCCTCACAACCCCTCAAAAGCTCCTTAATCTCCTTGCTTCCATAGAGCCGTTCAGCCCCCCTTCCTTCCTCATATCCCTTTAGTTCCAAGTACCCTGAAGAGCCCCCCCTACCCCACACCCAGCTACCATCCCCTCCTACATCCCAGTGACACAGATGGCAAAGTAGTCTTGTTCAGATTGATACCACCAATCTGGGAGGGGGGGGTATTTTGCCCCCACTGACACTGGTGCAGCATTGTTTTTCCTCTTAGCAACACCACTGATTCAGGGACATTTTTTTTTTCTTCTAGTGACACCACAAGCACAGAGACATTTTTTCTTTCCAGTGATACCACAGCTGCAGGGACATTTTTCCTTTCAGTGACTCCTCCAATGCAGGGACATGTTTCCTTTCAGTGACTCTTCTAATGCAGGGACATTTTTCCTTTCAGTGACTCCTCCAGTGCAGGGACATTTTTCCTTTCAGTGACTCCTCCAGTGCAGGGACATGTTTCCTTTCACCTTGTTCCTCCAGTCCATTTTCCAGTGACTCCTCCAATGCAGGGAGGGACATGTTTCCTTTCAGTGACTCCTCCAGTGCAGGGACATGTTTCCTTTCAGTGACTCCTCCAGTGCAGGGACATGTTTCCTTTCAGTGACTCCTCCAGTGCAGGGACATGTTTCCTTTCAGTGACTCTTCTAATGCAGGGACATTTTTCCTTTCAGTGACTCCTCCAGTGCAGGGACATGTTTCCTTTCAGTGACTCCTCCAATGAAGGGACATGTTTTTTCCTTCCAATGACTCAACCAGCACAGGGACATTTTTCCTTTCAGTGACTCCTCCAATGCAGGGACATGTTTTTTTTTCAGTGACTCCTCCAATGCAGGGACATTTTTCCTTTCAGTGACTCCTCCAACGCGGGGCAAGGGACATTTTTCCTTTCAGTGATTCCTCCAGTGCAATGCAGGGACATGTTTCCTTTCAGTGACTCCTCCAATGCAGGGACATGTTTCCTTTCAGTGACTCCTCCAATGCAGGGGACATGTTTCCTTTCAGTGACTCCTCCAGTGTGGGCACATTTTTCCTTTCAGTGACTCCTCCAGT